CATCATTGGATTCTACAGACTGCACGGCGGGAAGGAGATAGGGGGAGGGGGAGCAGAGAGAACCGTGATTCGCGACTCTCGTGGCGTCAAATTTAAACAACAGCAACGGAAACAACATCCTGAAACGTTCACTGCCCCGCAGTAGTCGTCGCATGGTGACTCGATCGCTCATTTACATCGGCGTTATCCCGGTCATGATTGATGCATCGCTAATTACAACACACAGTCTCGGCTTCGCCCCGGCCAAGCTCGCTCGCTCGCGTCGTCCTCGAGAGTGAAGCAATGAAACCCACAAACCGAGACGCAACCACCGTTTCACCGGCGGCGGCAAGACGCGAGTGTACTTTCGTACGCGGTATTCCTTAAGAATTAAGTTTCAGTCTTAAAAAATAGTGTCCCTCGAACACTCTTTCCTCGGTCGGCCACGGTCCTCCGGCATCTCAAGGTCGGCCGCGAGTCGCGACGACGACGATCCGACGAAAGCGAATACCGCGTCGCAGTTCATCTCCGCGCGGTCGTCGGACGGTACGCACGGGTCCGCCAATTATGCCGCGGGCGCGCTATTGCGCGCACGCCCGGCGCGGCACTCAGGCGGTCCGTCGTGAGGAAGGGAAAAACGCACGCAATGCGTCCGTCGTTCGTTCATCACTACATTGTACTTGGCACAACCGTCACCTTACTGTACTGCCCGTCAGCCGACTGGCTGGTCGTCGTCGACGGCTGCTGTGCCGGTTTCTCCAGCTGCTTCGGCGCCGGCTTCAGCTTGCCCAAGCTGGGATTCTCGGCCAGCGTGACGTAGCCGGTGCTTTGCTTGGCGAAGACGGGCCTGTTCGGTTCTACCTTGGCGCTCTTGTCGTCGACCTTCTTGCAGCTCTCGTCGTCGTCCGTCATCCTCGCGCACAAATCCGCCTTTTCCCGTTGCTGCTGCAAGCTCGCGAGCGTGTACGGCTTGGAGGAGAACTTCGAATTCGCTAGAGCGGGGATCGCGTGCTGGACGTACGGCCTCCGCGACTCGTTGGCAGCGTGAGCCGGCGACGTCGGCGTCATCTCTTCCGTGATCGACGACACAGCGACGTAGGGCTTCGACGAGGTAGCCGACTCGGGAGTCGGCGGGAACGACGGCAGGAACGAAGCCGGTGCGAAGGGCTTGCCGTGGGAGCCGGTCGACATGAAGGAGCCGCACAGCAGGTTCCTCTTCGTGTCGACGATCGGTTTCAAGAGATACTGCTTCTCCAGCGTGTCTATCAGCCCGGTCTGCACGTACGGCTTGGAGATCTTGTCAGCGTCTGGGTCGAATTGCGAGGGCGCTTGCGCGTCCGGGTTATTATTGCACTTGTCCGGCTCGACGAAGGTCAGTTCGTCCAGATCCAACGTGTCGGCCGCGTGCTTCGACTTCTTCAGCTTCTTCTCCAAGGCGGAGAGCGCGATGTACGGCTTCGAGGACTTGGTAGCCTCCATCTGCAGGGTTATCAGAGCGTCGCCAACGGCCGTTCTGCCGCCGGCCGTCGGCTCCTCGCACGGCTTGCTCTGCTTAGGCATGGAGCCGACGACGCTGTAGTTGGCGGCGGTGCCGGGAACGGCACCGACGATGAACGGGTTCTCCCTCGGCACCGGGCTGGGATTGGACGACGCCTCCTCGGAAGACGGCATGCTGATGTAGCCGGTGGAGGACCACGTGTGCTGCGAGGTCGTGCAGCCGGCGCTCTCCGTCAGGTTCGGCGTGGAGCGCGTCAGCGACAGCGTCTCGCCCAGCACCGGCTCGCCCGACTTGGCGACCTTGACGTACGACTCCCATTGGCCGTTCTCCGTCGAGCGTGCGTTACCGACGTTCCTCTGCCGCACCCTCTTCGACTCCCAGCTTGGCAGCGACTCCAACAACTTGTCCGGCGACGCTGGGTCCGATGCCATGTCCGTGCCGCTGTCGTTGGAGACCTGCGAGTTGGTCGTCAATGAGGAGGTGACGGAATCCTGGGCGCTCGAGCAGCCACTGGAATCGGCGGACGGCTGTCGCATGTGTTGCTCGCCGACGCTCGGCAGCAGTTTCTGCGCGGACCAGAGACAGGTTTTCTGTTAGCCGCAGCGCGATTTTGCAGCGAGCAGCCGCCGAGACGGCAAGCGGCCTGCCGTTGACCTCTCGAGTGCCATTAATGTGTCCTCGCGAATGCTCGAGACGAACAACAGTTATCGACCGCCGCAATAAGTACTCGTATTAAGATTCTCTCATATATTTTTCAGTGACAGTGATTAATACAATTTCATTTGACCCGGTTCGCTGCTTTCGATTCCTCAACGAGATATTCTTTGTCCCATCGATCAACGCACGACAGTTCGAAGTATTCCATCCTGAACGAGATTGTTCAGCTCTGAAGAATGCGGGACACTCGAGAGGTCAAGTACTGTTATTCGGACAGATAGATATGTCTCACTTACTATGTTCGGAGCGAGCCCGGGCGGTAATTTCACTTCCACGTCTTGCATCGCCCTGCACTTCGACCACATCCTGCAAAAGAAACAGCATAGAGTACCGCGTTGAATTGTAAAACTGGAGACATTAATGGCTGAACATCAATCAATTCTCTGTACGAGCGACTCTTATGCGCATTCGCCTTTAATTAATTTGCAAACGCATAAGACTCGCTTCGACGAGAGTACTTAGATCTTACATTTTGTAATTACAGCGCTGCCGTGCGAGTCACTGGGACAAAAGTGATGAAATAATGACTGCTTCTTCGCGGAAAGGTGACAAAAAGCGACTCGTCAGATATTAAAATAGCGACAAAAGTGACGTTATTTTTTCGTCAAATCCTGAGAGTAACTACTCAGAGATACATTTTTTAAATACCCCTCTTTAAGACGTCTGAAAGATACTTAAAAAAATAAGACGTCTTTTGGACGTCTTTGGGATATCTTTCAGAAATTTGTTTCATCTAAGTAAAACCATTTAAGCAAAAAAAAAAACAACATTTATCTTCCTATGTTTATCTCTGAGTCACTTAATATATAACGAGCTCTTTTTACAGTACGGTTTGAAAGTTTACAATAACGAAACATATTTTGCGAATTATATATTTTACAAATTTAACGGCAACCGAGGAAAAGAATGACTATTTCGTGATCCATTTTGGACAATAGCAAATTTTTTAGTGACTTGTCGATGAAAAGTGACTCAATTGGACTGGATGGTAGCGTTGCAATTACATCTCATTCGTTTGCTTCTTTACCTTCTCGAACCATATACGAGGCAGCTGAAGAACACCCCGATTCCGATAATGCCGGTGATACAAATCATGAGCCATGCTGCAAAGGACGGTCCTGTTACACAAGGAAATTTTGTACTCTCTAATATTTGTTTGTTATACTTACCGCACAAAATCAATATAATCGTAAATATGTTACTTAACCTTAGGTTTAGAAAGAGATTCTTTATATATATAATTAAATATCGAAGCGTAAACTTATGTTAAACTTAGTCTAACGTACATACAGAAATGTACAGACATATATATGTATATATATTGAATATATAGATAAATTTTACTCAGATCTCTATTTAGCAGGACTGTTTAGACAGTGTGGAATATCGAAAGAGCCGATATAAACATCTCGAATCAATTTATTTTAACCCTTTGAATGCTGCGAGTGCACATGTGTGCTCCGAGTTCGCTATGAATCACCGGCGTTTTCTCAGGGACTATCGTCGGCATACCCGTTCTTTCGGATGGTTAGCAATGATTACAATTGTAAGATTTTTGTTGCTTTAAGTGTACAGAACACTGATTTTTTATCTTTGTTCTGCCTGACGATATCGTCAGTCACAGTTGAAACGTTCAGTAATCCCCTCGAATCCCTGCCACACAGAGCGTTTTTGCGTAATAGCGCCGCACTCAAAGGATTAAACAAAGATATTGAAGATATCTGGAGGCAAACAACCAATAAGAAAGACAGAAAGAACTGTGAGAATTTATCGCCGATAATTTCGATCTTGACGAGAGGATTCAATTGTCCCTAAGGTACGTGTTTATTTTTCAAATTTCCAACGCATGTGAAATACTGTCAATTGTTACATTCCCAAAGCTCCCTCCGGGACTTTAAAAAACCTTTTGGTAAGTGTCGCGAAATTTGCCGGGTCGAGAGATTGATTAGCGGCTGGAAACTAGCGTAAAGTAGCTTACTGTGTTTAAGAAAGAAACAAATACACACCGTCGGAGTGACAGTTTACTTCTACCGGGTCAGACCAAGGCCCTTTCAGCTGTGTCTCGTTAACGATATTCACAGCTCTGACTCGGAAGAGATAAGACGGCTCTTGCGGATCGCTGACGTCCTTGCAGTCAGGAATAGACAGTCGTATTTCTACAATACGAACACAGAGATATTCAAATAAACATCTGCTCATACGAGAGAATGCATTGCCTCTGTTACAACGAAAGACTGAATCATGACATGATTCGGGAACATACCAAGAACTTATAGATACAACAAGGAAAGCTGATGACACGCCACTCGTCAACACTTTCTTTCGAGTTACAAAGCAGCGGCTGGAAGGTCAGGAGACCGAGGAGAAAAAAATTTTAGGACGGTATTCACAGTTAGATTTTATATTTTATATTTGAGACCGTTTTATGTTCATCTTCAGGTGCATTGTAATCAATGAAACGTAAAATATCTGAAAATGAACTTAACACGATCTTAAGTCTGATTGTAAGATCTGATTATATCGGTTTTAACCCTGGTGTGGTCCCGTGGATGACAAATGTATTCCGCTTTAGACTGACATTTTCAATAAAAAAAAAAAATCGTTTTAGAGATAGCAAAGATGTCTATTATACAATATATATCTATTATACATACATATAATTTCCAATTATAGGAACATTGTTTGTGCATCATGACTGTTGATAATTTAATAAATAAGCTGACAACGCTGCTTTCTCCAAAGCAGCAGTCATGATACGCAAGTATGCAAAAAGAACGCGTCTGGATGGAAATCTTCAATATTTGTCAAGTGCATAAGAGTTCAATTGCCTCATGTATACGAAAGAACGGAAGGAATCCGCGACTAACGAGTCATCAGGTTTCTCCCTCTTAGCTCTAAATTTCACCTGACGCGTTGGTGTACTGGATATGCTGGTTGTTGTGCAGTATTATCTCGTAATAGTGCACCGGGCCGCCGCTGTTCTTCGGCTGGTACCACTTGAGAACAACTTCGCTACCGTTCGTCGAGTAGACGTAAGGCAAGTGTATCTTGCCGGGTATGCCGATCTCCGTTATCTGCTCCACCGATGTCACATTGCTGCACGATATAGTGCAGGCGCGCACGGAGATGTTGTATTTGGTGTACGGCTCCAAATCCGTTACTTGAATACTAAGCACGTCGGCATCCTCAACTTTCAGCACGCGACCGTTGTACCGCACCTCGTAGTATCTCAGCACGCCGTTCATCTCCTGAGGCGGTTTCCACTCGAGAGTAATCGTTGTGTTTGTTACGTTCACGACTTGCAGGTCCTGTGGAGGGGTGCTAGGCGCGTCCTCGAGGGTGGTGTTGAACAGAGAGTCGCTGTTGGAACCCTCACCGAACTTGGTCAAGACCGTGACGTATAACATGTACGTGGTATATGGTTGTAGCTCACGAGCGGTGCCGTGTATCGTATGCGGCCCGGCCACGATAGTGATGTTCTTCCTCGTGTTCTCCTGACATTGCTGCTTGTAAGGCGATATAATAGGGCAGTAATAGATGTTGAAACCGTCGATGATACCGACGCGATCCGAGCAGTCCAGCTTCCACCCGACCTCGATGGATCTCGAACCGATGCTGTTTATCCACACGTCCTTCATCTTGCTAGTTACCTTGTTGTGTATCACAGTACACGAGGCCCACACCATGCCGCTGCTGGTCCGCTCGGTGTTACTGGAGATCGCGAACTGGTATACCTTGGACGGATTAGACACGGTCACGTTGTACATGGTGGTGTTCTTCGGCACGTGTACCCAATCGAGATAACCCTGCAAGTGACATATCAATCCGTGAGCAATTGTAAAATTTGATTTTTCCTGAGAAACTCACGCAACAACTATAAATGCACTTGGATAATATAAGGATGTGTTGCCCGTTTTTATGCCGTATTTTCATTTTGGCGTATCAAGGGGGCCCACTCATAAATTTAGTACTTATCAAGAAACTTAGATCAATTTGTAAGTTCTTCATAATTTTTTCCTTATTTTGACTTATGAGCAATATATCCCTAAACGTTTCGACCATTGGCTTGCCTTTTTCAATAGTTAACTGCAAGTGTTGTATATACTCTTATTATGGTCTACTTTTAGGACAGATCGCTGTTATTATTGCATACTTCGTAAGCATTTCTATTTCTCGGATAAAGCAACGTTCAGTGAAAACTGGAGGAAAAATATAGATACGTACAGTGCACTGATATGGACGATCACGGATGTCTTCGCACCAGAAGATCGTGTAGTTCTTGATGTTCTCGGAGATTGGCGGTTTCCAAGACAACTCGTACAACGTCTCGTTGTAAGCAATCTTCGTGAAGGCATTCGGTTCGAGTGAGATGACTGCAAGATGTGACAATGGTTACACTTCACACAGCATCTGGTTCGCTTTGAATCAATCTTTCTTTGTTGTACTCACCCTCGGATTGAGTTGGCACGATTATCTCGGAGCGACTGCTCGGGCCAACTTCATTTTTCGACGCGATCTTAAAGAGATACTTGCTGTCCGTGGTTATATTGTACTTCACATATGCAACAGTGGAGTTCCTGTTCTTCAGATTTGCATCAACACCGTTCTTCTCCACATAATCGACCTCGTACATAAAGTTCTCTCCGTTCTGGTGGTTCTGCGGTATCCTCTGCCAATATAGGAATACGTCCCTGCTTTTATCGTCGATCTCCACGATCTCGAAGCTACCAATGTCGGTTCGTGGCGGAAAACTCGGCGCTGAAGTCGAAGAAGAGGACGGTTAGTCGTACGACACAGACTGGGTGGAATTATAATCGCACGGATTATCGACCAGCAGTTACGATTATTTTGTGGTTTACGTTGCAACCCGTGATAAGAGAGAGAATGAAAGACGGATCTCGTCACGTCGACTCGAAGCAGACTTACCGCTTGACATTGTTCGGAATTTGATGACGGCAGGTTTGCTCCACATACGTTCAACGTCTTCGGCGGTCGCGCTCTTCAGAAGAATGCGAACGTCGAACTCGCAATAGCCACAGTCCAGGTTGGTAAGAAGGTACTCTTTGTGTTCCTCGCGCACCTTGTCGGTGATATTGATAACCTGCGGACAACGTGCGCTGTTAGTCGTCGTTATCGCGGGGTTTTATGTAAAATTCAAGTATCGCCAAATTGTCACGTTGACGCGATAAAAGCGCCGTTTGAAATGCAAAGACCGACGGCTCTTATCTTACCGTCCAGGTAGCGTTCTTGCTGTTGCTGTGCAGCTGATTCTGATACATGATTCTGTGGTGCACACCGGCTGGGAAGTTTTGCAACGGAAACGGCAGGCTCCATCGTAGCCTCGCGCTGTCCGGTCTTATATTGATCACCCTCGCGTCCCATGGGCTGCGTGGAATAACTGAAGCAGCGACACAACATTGTTAGCGAATGTCAAATATTTAGATTATACTTACATTATACTTATAATATATTTATAATATACTTATATATTGATTACTCACAGTTACTGTATGACACATTGTTGAGACAGTTAAATTCTTGAACGAGTTTATTCACTCATATATGAATTATATGACATTTTTCATCGATTCTATATTTTCACAGACAAAAAGATAATAGTATGCCTATGTAAGATTTACGTACCGTTAGAAAAATGATCCATTTTATACGTGAAGCTGGCGTTCTCGAAAGGATTAAACGCAAACAATATAAAGGTGTACGTCTCATACGGCTGTCTATAAATGGGATTGGTCTTTGTGTCCCAATAGCACGAGTTTTTATCTATCGGGCCCACATCTTGGAGCTTCTTCGTGTCGTCTTTATTCGTTTCGTTTATATCCTTCGGACAGGGGAATATTTTTCGGCTGCGCTTTCCAGGCAATGTGAACGTTAGGTTGTAAGTTGTCTTGACATAATTACGCACCGGTACCCACGAGCAATGCAGGCTTTCCCAATTATCGGATACGCAATTGAAGCTTATCGGTTTCGTAGGCTTGTCTGTAGAACAAAACAAACAAGATAAATAGCAGATAAACTGCTTACGTGAAAAAAAAAAGAAGAACGTAAGTTGCTTTTAAAACGATTACAAATACATCTCACTCGATGCGTCAGAAACAAAATTCTACGTCACACAAACTGGAATCTACCGAACGAAAACGTAATGTTTCGATGTATCAAATGCAATTTACTATATACAGCACACAGGTATAAAGCATAGGTATTTCCCACGTATAAATAACGCACACTTCTACGAAATAAAAATATACGCGCGACGAATAACTTTTAACGTCACAGGAATCTCCCTTTGCTTAGTTATCTTTATTGCTCGTGATAATAAAACGACTTCTAAGACGCATTCTATCAAACGATTCATTCGTAATTCTAGCGAAAATGGAATCAATGCGCAATGTTGTCTCCGTAAAACGTCGTTCAGCTGATAAGAGTAAATATGTGTGGGCACCGTTACTGTACCAGTAGAAAATTCATATCTCTCTCTCACACACACGCGCGTACGCGCAATGATCAAATATATTATATGCATTACATTATATAATTATAATGTGCACCCTGTCCGTGTAATGTTACATAACGCGATAAATATTTTGTCTATAATAAAATGAAAAATAAACATAGCATGAGGCGGAGAATTTACAACGTGCATACGAAAATCGAGGTTACGTGAGCACGATAACTTACGTCCAATTGCAACTTCGTTGAGACAAACTGCTACGTTATGAAACCCAGTGTCTACGCGTAAGCCGCAAGTATAAAGAGCTTTGGAGGGCTCCGGATTGGGTATCTCCAGCAGTATCGCCGTTTCGTTGATTATACTGATAAACTTTCTGTCTACGAAGGTTGCGTCGCGTAAGAAATAGAGATCCGCTGAGGTTTTACCCGGGTACTTTTCGGCAACCCGTTCGGGGTCTAATATACACATAATCCTCAGCGGTTTCGTGCCATATTCGATGTTAATGTCACCATACGGCCTAGTCACTGCAAAGAATGAAAATGCTACATCAGAAAACGTACAAACAATGAGACAACGTAACGTACAGTTCGTTAAAACTATTAATTATTGTAAAACATATTTATATTCTTCCGTAAGTGCTTTAATTAATAAGTAATTGAAATCTATGAACGATCAGACCGACCGGATGACATTTTTAAACCCAATTGAATCATATTTCTTCTACAAACATATGTATATAAAGTGACATATAACGCGCACACGTGCGTGAACGCGCGTTTGAGAAAACAAAAAAAACACGATGTTCGTGCGCGGCATATACTCTCCGATTTCAGCGGTAGTTTCGGCGTGAACTGTACCGCTGGCGCATTAAATATAGATACATGCATTTAGCTCAACACTAGAATTCCAAAAGGAGAGATAAGACGTATGTTTTATTTATAATTGTGGCACATCGGCAGGACGTGCGTGCGAGACATCGAAGCTTGTAGCACGTTATCTCTGTGTTTTACAATAAGTATGTGAATCAGAATTTATACGGTACTTTGTGACGCGCGTGTACCGAAGTAAAACAAAGTCAACTCGAATGTCGCTTTTTTGATGATAATTCTTTCTTCGCAATAATCATTCAGGTGCGATATGTACGCACGTATTTGAATTATTTCTATTAAATATTCAAGGATGTATTGCTCATAAATCAAAATAATGAAAAAATTACAAATTGATCTGCATTGTGTGTAAAAATGACGCTTTACGTCAACCTTAACAATCAATAAGTAACCGTAACCTTAACAATTAACGTAACAGAAATGATGAAAAAAAGATAGATTAAAAACGTAAGTTGCATTTTACACTAATTTCCGACTATTTATTGATTGTTGAGGTAATCACACAAGGACAGTTCTAGCGAGGACACGGAAGCCTTAAAGAAAGTTGTAAGATGAAATGAGTTTGAGAAGAATTTAGTGAAACTTGCACTGTATATACATTGAAATATTACCCAACTCATTACTGTTGCAATTAGAAGAAGATTAACTACTTGAGAACTGAGATATTTGTAACTAAAGTTGATGTTTTTTATACGTGTTCCTTGAGAGATTAGCGTGCTATTTTTTATTTCTATTTTTAATATCTTCTAAACTAAAAATAAGATTTTAATGAAAAACTACTATTAAAGACTAATATGTAGAAATACAAAAATTTCAGAATTAATGGCCATTTTGTTTTGAAAATACAGTGGTGTAAAGTTTATAACTTACAATAATATTCGATATATATATATATGCACATATTTAAACACTTATATCTTTTTCTATCATCTGTGCATCTCTATTAGACCAACTGATGCACAAATATAGCATTAATAAGAAAAATTAAAAAATAATAATTTTGTGATATTGTTTATATACATGTCTACTTCAACTTCGTTTCAAACTAATTTACTATCTAGATAGTAAAATATTTGCTCGATGAATCATTAAATTAATGAATGGTCCCTTGATGCGTCACTGGAAATACCGTACTAACGGGGCAATACATCCTTAAGTGGAGATTTTGTAAAAACACACACACATACATAGTTGACAGATCAAAGATTGCAATATCTGTTTTCAACGAATATCGTATCAATCTGTTTCAACGCAACTCTTATTCAATAATAAAAAAATGTATCCTCTGAGATTTGCTAAAGAACAAATTTTCCTATTAAGCACATAAGTGTTGCAACCTATAATCTGCCAATTGTACACATTCAAATATATATATCTCAAGGAAACTTACCTCCTGGTGTTGACAGACCCTGTACGCAGGGTTTCTTACTTATAGGTGTATACGTGTCTATGAAATCTGTGTCGTCTATGGTAGCTATGGAATCTATGGAATCCGCGTGAACTGTCATATGCATCATAAGGAAGAAAATGCAAACGAAAGGGAGAAAGATTCGCGAGAAATCGCTCCCCCTCGGGTGGTCGTATCTCCACAGGCTGTGCGATCGGAATACACGGCGGTAGCAATTCTTCGTTATCGAATAAACTGACGAAAATAAATGTGAGTATATCCTCGCGTCGCACTTCCATCTAGGACTGCGACCTCGGTGCTTCATTGTACTGTCATTGTACACGGGACGATCGTGTTCCTGGCTTGGCGAACATCGATCAGTCGAAAAGGCACTAGAAGACGGCAAGGCGTTCCACGACAAGCGAGCCGCGTTATCCGGTCGCTCGCTTCTTAGCGTAACGACGAGCATGACGTCGTCGTCGTTGTCTTCGTCGGCGGCGTCGTCGTCCTTCTCCGACGAAACGGTCCTGCTGAATGCACCGCGATCGTTGCATTTTGTATAACTGCCGTGAGTGGTGGGAAACTTTGACGACATGGCATCCAGAGCGAATCGGCGCCCAACATGTCTCCTTGTTGTTGCGTTGTCTTGTCTATACGATAGATTCATTTCCTCAGGCACTCGTGTCGGACGTTCATCGATCGTAGAGGACATTGTGCGCCCTTATCACTGAAAAATAAATAGATTCGGTGAGCACGAATCTCTGGCTAATTCGGTGTAACGGGGTCTGCGTTATTAAATTAATCATTTCTCAAATTTTCTCTCTCAATCTCTTTCTCTCCTTCCCTCTTTCCCTTCTCCTCATTAACCCTTTTAGTGCCGGGAGCCGATATATCGGCTCCTGCTACACCGGCGAGAAGTGCCAGAGCCGATATATCGGCCCGCACCTTGTAGCGCTTTACTATTCGCATTGCGAGAGATCTCTATCAAAATAAATTTAAAATACGTTATAAATAGTCTAATTTCATTACGAGAGAATTAAAATAAATAATTTTTAAATATTGCTTTTCGTTTGGTTTTTATGAGCCTTTTACCAAATCCTAGTAAAATCGGCCGGTTATCTTCGCATAAGCACCTCTTTTTCGCCCGGCACTAAAAGGGTTAAATAATCGGTATCGTCGCATACTATGTAACTTACGTTAATAAACCGAGAAGAAAATTTAACGTTAAGGTTCGTTCAGAATTAAAACGTCAGCGAAGTCCTCTCGCACGACGATGAAATATTGTACGATTGGAGTTCGCGTTCGAAAGGTTCAATGAGGAATCGAAGAAGCGAATCGTGAGCCGAACTCTCGCTGTCCCGTGGAATTGAACGAGATATGAGAAGACAGGGATGTGAACCGCGACCGAGCTAGGGCACAACTGATCTACCGGGAGAGAGTAGTCTAACTAGGAAACGTACGCACGAGGAGCGTATTAATGTGGGATGCGAGTTCCGGGGAAGAACGCGTCGCTTATTAGGGAATTTGAGGTCGTGACATGCGGAGTAGTTAATTTTTACGGAGGCAGCACTTTCGATAACTCGTAAACTATATATTTTGTTATCACGACGATATATATTTATATATAAATTCAATTCCATGCAACGCTCGAGTTTGCTGCGTTTTCCCTACGCAGGCAGCTCCTCTCCTTGCCTTCCCGCCCTCCTCGTCGGTATTATCAAAGCGTAATGTATTCGGGATTTTATCAAACACTCTTTACGTTTATTGATAATTACGATTGATGATAGCAATTAAAAAAAATCATTACGACAAATATCGTAACGATAAACGCGTATAAAACATGCACATTCAACAGATGCGAAGATGTCGTTGTGAAATAAATTATTTACGATGCCTCCTCGTTGCGTAATAATCCGATAGCAAGCAAGATTTTTCGCGAGCGTACCGAACGTACAGCGCTCCACGAAGAGACGTGTCATTACTCGCGCGCGAGCACATCAGGAAAATCCAACGCGATTTCCTTCGAACTTCGAATCGTTTCCTTCCGCACCAGCGTAATCATTTTCATGGAATATCTCCGCAGGCACTTAACAGCAGTAAACGATCTATCTTTCTCCGGGCACACGATCCACGTCACGATCTTTGTACGTCAAAATTACGCAACGACATTGCAGTATTTAAAGCACTCCAATGGAAAATATAGGATACGTAACGGTAGAGTTACTATTTAACGAAATGTAGAGTTACTATTTAACAAAAACGAGTCGCGCAGAGGCACGAGCGGGCCAAATGTAGAAGTTAATACGTGCAAATGGGTCAACTTGACATTGCATATACATTGTGTTACCTTGATATATAGATCACGTAACTTTTCCCCTAGGGCGGAAATACGAAAAGTGAAATATTTTCAAATTTGCACGAATTAAACGAACTTTTCGCGAATTCACGCTAGAGAAGATTCATGAACCCCTGGAGATTGATCATTAATTTTCCCCTTTAACGTGAATTCGTAAAAAGTTCCTAATTCGAAAACATTTCACTTTTCACGTTTCCACTCTGGGGAAAAAGTTACGTGATCGATACCCTTGGCTGTGTATTTTCGTTACAAACAAGTGTTGTTGACAGTAACAGATTTTGTGTTAAATCTAACACATTTCAAACAGTCCACTCATATTTTTTTGTTAACTTTACACTTAACTTACGATAATCATCGGTTAAAAACGCTTACTTTTCGAGACACCTTTCGTTTAACGTTTGTTACAAACAAATTTTCTCGGTTCCTTCATGAACAACACATCCGCTCTAAATTACGAGATAAACTCGGGAGGAAAAGGGACGCCTTAGTTTTCGAGAATGAAAGGATATGACACAACGTTTGCTTTCTCTTTCTCTCTCTCGTGATAAAACTCATCCAATTAATCATCGGGTAGATAGTGCATACGTTTGATTCTAGTTCGAATGCTTTTCGGCTTGATAAAGCGAAATACAAGACTGTGTAACTCAACAAGGGTATATATTGTATCTGTGAACACGTGACGGAAAGAAGCGCGGACGGATCGATAATTTGTCGAAGCAGAGATTTTGTAAACCGATCGAAGACGAGTTCGCGTTACATACGGACGAGTACGACAAAAGTAGCAATGCCTGGGAACGTAACCTTGGAAATTCTTATTGTTTTGTTCTTTAAATACGAATGTTCAACATAAAACCTTCAACATAGAATATATGTACAACGTAGAATATATGTATTGAATATATATAAATATTTTATGATATTTAAAGATTAAATATTCGTATTTGAAGAGCAAAATAACAAGAATTTCCATAGTTAGATATAAGTCCAGGCATTGATATTTTTACCTTAGTAATGAGTCGGAAAATAAAAAGAATTGATACAGAGAGAAAACTTTTTTGTGGAGGGGGGGGGGGGCAAATAGATGCAGACGAATCTTGAAGAGACCAGAGGGGAAAAAAATAATGAAATTGACGGGGCTACCAGACTTATCGGTGTGAGGCAGTGACGTAAAAATCATAACGATACCAATTGTCGTAGATATTGATTGGAACAACGAGGGAGTCTGTGCTCTGGTGAGTCGGATCTATAATGAAATTAGAAATAGCCGAAGATCGGGCTGGTCGAACGGAAATAAGTACTCACAGCTATATAGTAGAAGTACAACTAAAACACGAAACCAATTTAAGACTTCGAGCGAATTTCCAGCGCGATCGGACGGTAAATATTATCCGACAACAATGAGTTTCGATGTTGTTTGTCAAATATGTCTGATGAATACAATAGAGTCGATCACCTTCAACTGAACGTCCAAAATTTCTGAGACGGGTCGTTTGTAAATAAACGATTTCGCGTCTTTGCGTTCTTCCGATTTGAAATTATAATTGGCCTCTGAGCTACGATTCGTCATCGTTATAATGATTTCGAATGTTGCCTATGTATACGACTGTTATTAATTAATTAATAAAAAAAAAAAAAAAAAACTATGCAAATTGGATGAAAAAGTTTCTTCGTAAATGTGAGCAGACCAATTCAAATATTTCCCTACATACGTAGTCAATTTGAGAGAATCGTTTCGAAGAAAAAGTTGCCGTTCTCTTTGTTATCGAGAATTACAAGAATCGCGATACTTCTTGCAATTGTGGATTAAAAGCCGATCGTGATTTCACGGCAAGTGTCAAGACTTAGCGCTTCACAGATAACTCCGATTACAATCTCTATTTCCATCTTGCAGACTAGTAGTTTCAAGTTTGGACTAGCAAACTTTTGACTGGCGAATCAAAAGATTTTTCATCGCTACTAGCAACTTCCTCCTTTTCTTTTTCCGAAAAATAAAACACGCCTCTTTCCGTATTTACATTTTGTTTTCGCATTACGTTTTTATTATACATTACCCGTACTCGCACGTAGATTTTCGTCTCGACTTTTTATCCAATTGCGATAACGTATTCTCATCTGTACGGAAGTCCTCCAATTTCTAAATTTACTTCCCTCTCTTGAGTACGTCACAAGTCGAAGTCACCCCGACGAATAATTCGGCGATACGTGACTTGCGTTCACGCGCGAGAATCCGTGCGTCTCTCTCTCTCTCCTCGCATGAACAAACGTTTCCCCCCGGGTATTTCGTGTGTAACGAAATTAAGGATAACCGAAGGTCAGCAATCCGTTGTTAGATCACGCTGCCTACAGCATCGGGCATTATTTACGTTCGATGTCTGCGCGCAATTCATCGGGCGAGACAAAACGTCGGCCCGAAAATAAAGAGTAATAAGGAGGAATTCGCGTACGTTCCCCTGCGTGATTCCCGCGCGCGACTCCCGGTCGGGAGAGGAAAAATGCGTGCGAACACTTTCTCTAATCAATTTCGTATTCCTCCCAATTTCACTCATGCGAGAGAGTCCGTCTCGCGCGCGCGCAAATTGCGCAGCGATCGCGTAACGGACGCGGGAGAGAGAGAATGGCGCCGCGATCGATATTCCCCATCCATCGTCGTCATCGTAAACAACGATCGGAGTCCTGTTTGCGGAGAGCTCTTCGCGAGTCGGCGAAATCAGAGAACGGTATCACGCGCGCCGGCTGCTCGCCTTATCTCGCCGATAAATCGATCCCGCCGCTACCTTACACGCCGCTTGTTTTCCCCGAGTTCAATCCGCGCTTATCCCGACTGGCCACTGCAGTCGTCGTCGTTGTTCACATCGTTCGAGCTCGGCGACGCGTCAGCAAATCGCGGAATAATAGGAAAACTGATAATGGCAGCGCAGTGCGACGTAGCGCGATTTTCATCCGCTCAACTCGCCTCGTCGTCCTTTTCTCGCCCATCGATCGCGTTGCATTCCTCGCGCATGATGTCCTGACGAATCGTCCGCCGCAATTTTCGTGCATTACGACAGCCGGGAATCGCCGAGCTTCGATTGTAAATCGAAAATAACCCCCGTAGCGTAGACAATTTTCTGGGGTCTAGCTTATATATATCTGGCCATTATCACTGGAGCTACATATACTATTTTTTACCTCACGATTTTATGTGTAAGATTTAAATGGGAAATGAAAAAATCCTTGGGGAAACGTTGGGGTGGTCAAATGGAATTTGCGTTTCCTGCTTAGAATCGCATGTTTAAAACATTACACTTCTTATCAGAATCTATAAATTACTTTGGGAAATCGGATTAGATCCCAATTAGATTTCGAGTAATTTTTTATGCGAGTATAATAAA